GCATGATGTTTCCACCCCCATGCTTCACAGTAGGTATGGTGTTCTTTGGATGCAACTCAGTATTCTTTGTCCTTGCGTGGAGCCCCAGATCGAGGGAGATTATCAGTGGTCTTGTATGTCTTCCATTTCCTAATAATTGCTCCCACAGTTGATTTCTTCAAACCAAGCTGCTTACCTATTGCAGATTCAGTCTTCCCAGCCTGGTGCAGGTCTACAATTTTGTTTCTGGTGTCCTTTGACAGCTCTTTGGTCTTGGCCATAGTGGAGTTTGGAGTGTGACTGTTTGAGGTTGTGGACAGGTGTCTTTTATACTGATAACAAGTTCAAACAGGTGCCATTAATACAGGTAACGAGTGGAGGACAGAGGAGCCTCTTAAAGAAGAAGTTACAGGTCTGTGAGAGCCAGAAATCTTGCTTGTTTGTAGGTGACCAAATACTTATTTCCCACCATAATTAGCAAATAAATTCATTAAAAATCCTACAATGTGATTTTCTGGATTTTCTTTCTCAATTTGTCTGTCATAGTTGACGTGTACCTATGATGAAAATTACAGGCCTCTCTCATCTTTTTAAGTGGGAGAACTTGCACAATTGGTGGCTGACTAAATACTTTTTTTCCCCACTGTATACATGCTATCATTTATCATATATGACGATGTTTGTGTATCATTGTGCATGTTTGAAATGATCTAAATGAATGAAATGAAACTAAATCCCTTCCGTCTCCCCTGTTGACCGCAGATTGTGCAGCCTGACCCTCAAGAAGCTGATTGTACTGAAAGAACTGGACCGAGAGCTTAGCTCCGTGGTGATAGCTGTCAAAATACAGGTGAGTCCAGGTTAAGAAGATTATGACGATTTAAGTAATGTCCTTTGGATTGTATTAGTATCAAATGGAGTGTCCATAAAAACACAGGTACTTTGATTGCTGTTGACCATTGAAGTTTTGTGTTATGGGATGGTTTGGGAACAACTGTTTGCGTCAATTGGCTCATACTATTTTCTGAAATAAACAACACAAAATCAAAGGGCTATATCAAGGTCAATACTACTAGTCAATTTACTCAGATATGGCAATAACTAACAAAAGCTAATGGCCAACGAAAGCTCATGGTCAACATCGGAAATATTTTTTACTTCTCTGTGGTCCTCCTTACAAGCTATTTCTATGCATATCTTTTGTACATCCTTTATTTCATGCACCTTGGCAGAACTGCGACGTAGCTACATACTTTTTCCTTTCACACCTGACAACCTCCCCAGAATCTCTCCTTCCACTAAGCTCAATAGTCTCAGAGGACTGCCCAAGCGGTTACCAAGGTGACAGCTTGTTCGATAGGAACAGAGAGAAAGGAAAAAGATTACAGTTATGTGGGAAGGGGAGTCATTACCGACCGTTACTTTAGGCACTCTGCATTCCAAAGTGGTCGCTTTGGTCGCGGTATGGCCCAGTGCTCGCGTATTGCTCAGGGTTCTGTGCAGTCAGAGAGAAAGAGCATTGTGTGGTTGAACTGTGTTCTTTCTATTCTCTCTAATTACTGGTGGTAAATTCACTGGTCATTTGCACTTCAAGAGTATTAAGCGGTAGATTATCAGAAATCTTTGTAATAATTCTATATACTGTACATGGCATACTTACCTTTCAGATGCACACAGAGATATCTGACATTTACATTGGTAAATATATTTCACTTTAATCTAAGAGGTCCCCAACAAGTCCGAACCTTTTGACATGTTCACTGGTGTTGTACAAGGACAACGAACCTCAAGAGATTGAAAACATGTCAGCATGACAATTACAGTTCATCAGGTGGTAGAAAACCTGACCTGAAAACCCTAGGTGGCTGTTCCCTAAAAGACCCTGAAGTGTCAGTCAATATTGCCCACCGCTGCTCTGTCCTCAAGTAACTAGGTACTTCAGCACTTTTCTGAGAACATCATTCCGGTCTATTCATTTCCTCCTGTGTTGATTGTGATGACTAGCTAGCTCCTGTCTCAGCAGCCTGCCTGCTACGAGTAACTTGGTACTTCAGCACATTTCTGAGAACACCAATTATTCAGGTCTATTAATTTCCTCCTGTGCTTATGGTGATGGCTAGCTAGCGCCTGTCTCAGCAGCCAGCTTGCTACTTGTCAGAAAAGGCACTTAAATGGCCACATCTGATCCTCTGATGACGGCATGTTGAGCGGCAACACAAAATAACCAAAAGTTGCAGTGTAGGTAGGAATTAAGACTGGTCTCGACTGCTCTCTATTCCCCATTGACAGGAGGAAAAAAGTTTATTATTGGTCACTCTCTGAATCTCTAGCTACAGAACTCAGAAGATCGTGGTGGTTTTGTTCCGTATGTTAAAAGCCGCTAATGCATACTTGTGTTTGGTCCTTTCCGTTTTTTGAATGCGTTCAGAAATGAGTTAATTGTATTGTCATTGGGCTAACCAATAGCTTTGGTTTCAGACTTGTCTGAAGTCGACACCTACAGTGGGGAAAAAAAGTATTTAGTCAGCCACCAATTGTGCAAGTTCTCCCACTTAAAAAGATGAGAGAGGCCTGTAATTTTCATCATAGGTACACGTCAACTATGACAGACAAATTGAGAAAAAGAATTCCAGAAAATCACATTGTAGGATTTTTAATGAATTTATTTGCAAATTATGGTGGAAAATAAGTATTTGGTCATCTACAAACAAGCAAGATTTCTGGCTCTCACAGACCTGTAACTTCTTCTTTAAGAGGCTCCTCTGTCCTCCACTCGTTACCTGTATTAATGGCACCTGTTTGAACTTGTTATCAGTATAAAAGACACCTGTCCACAACCTCAAACAGTCACAATCCAAACTCCACTATGGCCAAGACCAAAGCGCTGTCAAAGGACACCAGAAACAAAATTGTAGACCTGCACCAGGCTGGGAAGACTGAATCTGCAATAGGTAAGCAGCTTGGTTTGAAGAAATCAACTGTGGGAGCAATTATTAGGAAATGGAAGACATACAAGACCACTGATAATCTCCCTCGATCTTGATCTCACCCCGTGGGGTCAAAATGATCACAAGAACGGTGAGCAAAAATCCCAGAACCACACGGGGGGACCTAGTGAATGACCTGCAGAGAGCTGGGACCAAAGTAACAAAGCCTACCATCAGTAACACACTACGCCGCCAGGGACTCAAATCCTGCAGTGCAGGACGTGTCCCCCTGCTTAAGCCAGTACATGTCCAGGCCCGTCTGAAGTTTGCTAGAGTGCATTTGGATGATCCAGAAGAGGATTGGGAGAATGTCATATGGTCAGATGAAACCAAAATATAACTTTTTGGTAAAAACTCAACTCGTCGTGTTTGGAGGACAAAGAATGCTGAGTTGCATCCAAAGAACACCATACCTACTGTGAAGCATGGGGGTGGAAACATCATGCTTTGGGGCTGTTTGTCTGCAAAGGGACCAGGACGACTGATCCGTGTAAAGGAAAGAATGAATGGGGCCATGTATTGTGAGATTTTGAGTGAAAACCTCCTTCCATCAGCAAGGGCATTGAAGATGAAACGTGGCTGGGTCTTTCAGCATGACAATGATCCCAAACACACCGCCCGGGCAACGAAGGAGTGGCTTCGTAAGAAGCATTTCAAGGTCCTGGAGTGGCCTAGCCTGTCTCCAGATCTCAACCCCATAGAAAATCTTTGGAGGGAGTTGAAAGTCCGTGTTGCCCAGCGACAGCCCCAAAACATCATTGCTCTAGAGGAGATCTGCATGTAGGAATGGGCCAAAATACCAGCAACAGTGTGTGAAAACCTTGTGAAGACTTACAGAAAACGTTTGACCTGTGTCATTGCCAACAAAGGGTATATAACAAAGTATTGAGAAACTTTTGTTATTGACCAAATACTTATTTTCCACCATAATTTGCAAATAAATTCATTAAAAATCCTACAATGTGATTTTCTGGATATTTTTTTCTCATTTTGTCTGTCATAGTTGACGTGTACCTATGATGAAAATTACAGGCCTCTCTCAACTTTTTAAGTGGGAGAACTTGCACAATTGGTGGCTGACTAAATACTTTTTTTCCCCACTGTACCTACGCACTTAGTTGTCTGTCAGTGCCTGATGGGGCTACTCTTGGAAGCCACGTGTCTTTTCTTCCTGCTCTGGTATCAATTAGCATTAGTGTCTTGAAGTAGCTAGCACCCTTTTGAGTTTGCTGAATCACCATGAGAGGAATGCACATCTGAACCCAGATTTTTCCATGTGTTTTGTTTTCCTCACAAACTTTCTTCCTCCCTTTCGTCTCTAAAGACTGAATGTATTGTGACGTTTCATCACTTTGATAACTGTCTGCTGGTCCATTTTAGTACAGCTGTGTGCAACAGCTCAATGGGAGTTTGATGCTGACTGCTGCTTTCCCCTGTTGTCTTGTTAGCAATTAGCCTGTTGCGTTTCCAGTCAGTTGATTGGATGCTAG